TTATGCTGGAGAAATTTTTTTTTTATACACCCACTTCCCAGGTAGCAGCCTCCTGTAGCCGCCCTCCTCCCACTAGAGCCCTTATACTCTGATATCCCTGCTACTGTCTGCTGTGTTGTCGGCACCCCCAGCCATTCCCCACTACTTGTCCTTCTGGTGAATCTAGTCAGCCTATCTAGAGGTCTTTGTTTTAGGAGGGTCAGCTGTTCCTCATCTAGCAGTAATCAGTTGTCAATATTCCTTTGGGTAAGATTGGAGTCTGCTGTTCAATTTCCCAGTTCTATTCTGGGTTACTATCTGGGAATCCCTTTGGCTACCCTGGCCAGCAACTCAAAAGGAGGTATCGCCTGTCTGGCATTGTTGCTTGCTATGTAGCCTTTAGCTATACATATGGTCTCTTAGGAAATTATATTGTCCTCTTTAATCTTTACTTATACTTTCCTTTTGGGTGTTTAAGGCTACACGATTGGTCCAGATAAACTGATTTATTTTTACTCTTAAGGTCGTTTAAGGATCTGTTCCTCAGGGGTCACATGGGCTTGGGAAGAGCCCCTGTCTCCTTTCTTTTACCAATTCCATCCAAATGAAGATAAGTCAAAGGTCCTGCTTGACCATGGTTGGCTTCACTTGGAAGCATGGAGGAAATGATTCCTCTGTGTTGACCCTCCTCTTTGTAGACTGGACATTGGTTCTAGTCCATCTGGTGGGGGTTCCTCAGCCTCCTTGATCAAGAGGACAAGTGACCCACCACAATTACAGGATATTTTGAGCAATGCTCATAGTCCCCTGGAACTAGTCAACCTAGGAGGGAAAGGAGCAAAAAGTGTCCTTTATGTCCCTCTGACTAAAATATTATAGGCCTCAAAGTATGTCTGTTAAACATCCAAGAAGGTTAGTTCCACCAGTCTGGTACTTTTAATTACTGCCAATTGTTCTCAGATAAACCTTACCTAGACATATATTTCTTGATCTGCTATGTATAATTTGTCAGTAGGTTGTAGG